AGGGATGATCTCAGCCGTTGATTTAATCCAATGGTCCAAAACGAGTCTCAACTAGCACAATCCAAGTGAGTATCATGTATCCAATTGTCAAGTGCCAATTAGGTAGAATTTTCCAAGTAAGCCGAAACCTCAATTGACAAAAGTAGCACTCGTTTTAGAGTGTTTTGAGAAACACCATTTTTCACACCCCCTTTTTCGAAATTAAAGTGCAAAGAGACCAAGCATTCAGAATATAGTTATACAGCCATTCGATGAGTGTAGAGAAATAGTTATAGTAGATTATATACCCTAAAATATTTAGTGCAAAATGAAAAGGTAGGTGGGAGGAATCCAAAACATCCTTCAGCAGGTGGATTGTCAATCGGAACATGCTGACTTTGGACAAGAGGTGCTGTCAAATTTGGACTAGCATACATGTCTGCGGGGCACTTACTTCTGTCGATACTACAAAGTCTCAGGCACATATTCAAGGAGACCAATAGTACTCTTGTACCAAGCATTCCGGATACATTGATCACCAAAGTAGGCTAAGGTTTTTACAATTCTGCACATAGGGTGGATCTCATCAATCATTTTATTAGGTAAAATGGTGTCCACCAGATTCTTGACAACCCACATATTAGTCTCCAACAATTCCAGCCTCTCAGAGTGATCTTGTGGTAGTAGATGCTTAGGAGTCCAAGTTTTAGGAATATGAACACTATCCAAATTGGCCTACATATAGACCCCTAGAGTTGGAATGAGGTTATAGTATCGATCGGTTGGCAAAGTAAGTATCGTCAAAGTGGACAGTGATTGGTGTACAGATAGGGGTTCATAGAAACCTTACCTACACCTCACATGGGCAGGGTGGGTGGGTGAGTTTTTGACATTATTTATTCATGTGGGGTCCACACTTTGTGAGATATCTGTAAATTTTCCGTATGAATCTTTTTTGTACATCAAACATTTTCCATCCTGAAATCATATAGAAAGTAGTGAATGAGACTGGGATAGGAAAGTGTGTATTGCTTTGCCTTCCTTATCATTGAGCATTTAGCCATCGCCAATTATTAGTTAGCTTTGGAAAACATTGTGTAATAGGATTGATTCTGTGAGTCGGTAAAACTTGGTTGTGAATTGCCCTAATGCATATTATGAAACACATCAATCGCTTAACTAATGTACGATAATAGTTTCGGGTTATTGAATTGATGGAAGTAATTAGTTCGATATGCTTTGATTCCGTGGGTAAATTATATATGCATGGAGGATTTTGGCTAACCGGTGTATTGACATATGTTAGGAAATTGATCCCAACTACTAGTCCCAACAAAAGACGAGAAAGGAATTTTTTTTTTAATTATTTTTATATAAGCGACAGCTACCCTATTAAAAAAATAATAATAATAAAAATAATAAAATAAATCTTAATGAGGATATCAAATATAATAAAAAATAAAAATAAATAACTCAAGCTCGAAATAGAGATAAAAGCACGTGCATGAAATGTAAGAAGCAATACAATCCTAACTAAGCTTTAGACATTATAATTAGGATCTAGATAACTAGTGAATTTAACTTGTCTAGTGGAAGCATGAAGGCCTGGACACTCAAAATTAGGAAGAATCTGTGTGTCTAATTAGTTGCTTTTATTGGTTCGATCCAACCAAATTGCAGTGAAAAAGTAACAAATTGCTTTAGAGAAAATATAGAAATAACGCCCTATGAGAGATGAAATAATAAGATTGGTGTGCATCTTAAAAGTGAAAAAGCAAAAAATAAATAAAAAGACCATCAAGGGTCTGAATTATAGGAAATGCTAGAGGTACATAATTTTTGGCACATAAGAGTGTCCACTCTCTCACATGAGTCATGTGAGAGGGTGAACACCCTTATGTATAAAAAATTATGTACAAGTATCTTTATCTCTGGATCATACCAACTTAAAAATTTATTCTTCTATGCAATTTTAAATGGATCTAGTGATGATTGGATTTGGCTATGAACGCGCATCGGTTGAACATATGATAATTTAAATTTTTGTTATTATTATTTGTGAGCTTATTTTAAATTAATTATTCGATTTTAAATCTAAATCTTTGTGGTTAACTATTTAGCTAGTGGGCCTTTTCTTTATTTTCCATGTATTAGAGTTGGTGAGTAGATAACATTGCGCAGGACTAGAAAATTCAAGCTCGAGATATTGATAAGTATGTTTCATACATTTATTTAATTAAGTTCCTAAATTAGCTTAAATATTAATTGATTGAGAACAATTCTACCACTTTATGTTGTACTTGAATTATGTAGGCTAAATCTCCAATTTGAAGGTAAACAAAGCAAGAGGAGGTGATTTGGAGAATGCTCATGGATGAAAGTCGGAAAGTTCTGGGATTTGATTGGGAAAATCGAAATATCAATTAGAAGATTTCACAAATTTTGGGGACTAAAATAGACGTTCAGAGAGGTTGAGAGGCCAACTTGGATATGTTGAAAAGCGTGAGGACCAAAACATATTTAAATCATAGTCCAAAGGCTCAATTTAAGAAGGCATAAAGATTGGGGACCAATTGTGAAACAAACGGGAAGTTTAAACCTCGCGGTCACGGACTAGGTTCGAGGTCGTGTAGGTGATGTTTTGGTATCCAAATTTCACTATAGGTTGTGATTCAACAGAGATTGAAGGTATTCATTTCATCTTCTTGTTCCTAAATAAACAAGTGACGTCTGTGTCAAATTTTTCTAGTTTTGATTCATTCACGATATTTTTTGGCTAGATTATTTGTTACGATGAATTATGTAGCTGACTAACTTATATGCATGTTTTAATTCATCATTTTGATTTTCTCTTAACTAAATTATGTTGAACTGACATTATTGAATGATTCATGTTTGATCACGAGAGTTACATTAAATGATATTTGTTACATGTTAAATCGAAAGAATGAATGTTTAGAACACCAGCCTTGCCTTTTCATGAATTTGCTTTTCAATTTACTTTTAGCATACTATAATCAAGAGTTGACCATTTGATATTCAAGGGCATGTTAACTAGTACTTGGGGATGAACTTTAATATTTTATCTTGAATTTACTTAGTAGCAGCACAACAGTTAAACCAAATTATGAATTAAACATGAATAGTGTAAATTAGTGAAATAAGGAGTCTTACTAATTTCTTAATCGTTAACTATTACTCAGGAGACGAATTTTTATATTTTATCTTGAATTTATTGACCGGTAGGGTAGCACAACAAAAATCTCGAGTCTTAATATTTTCTTAATTGATTTCTACATTATTCCTTATTCGTTCCATTATTATTAAATCGCCTATTTTAGTTGAGAACCAGAAAAACGTAAAATCAAACCAATTTCTTAAATCAATGTATTCCTGTTAGGAGCATGTGTGGTTTGGACTAAAATCTTATTTTAATCAAAGTCAAAGTCAAATAATAAATATTAATTATATCTTTATGAGTTCTACAACATTTTTACCACACATTTTAAAAACTTCTATCACAATTTACTAAAAAATCTAATTTTAATTCCACCAAACACCCTCTAGATTAATATTAATTAAAGTATAATCAATAATCGATTCGGTTGATTATAGTGAATTTGGCTGCCAATTTCATTAAATTCACTTAAAAAAAGTCTAGGAAAATGGCTGCACTTTCGTGTACAATTCTCAAGGTTGACTGCTAGAGGGCCAGGTTCAAAGCCAGGGCCCAAAACAGGGGCTTATGTGGAGAACATGTTATTCCATCTAGATGCCCCTCCAATAGGAAGGTGCCAGATAGGCGCCCTGTCACATAGCCTTCAAAGCCAGGGCTCAAAACAGGGGCTTATGTGGAGAACATGTTATTTCATCTAGATGTCCCTCCAATAGGGAGGTGACAGATACGCGCCTTGTCACATGGTCTCGACAGGCCCCTATTCATTAAGCATTTCCCTTGCTTAAATGCATGCAAAATCCCAAGTCAACAAAACCTGCTATCTAGAAGATTTTTGGCCTTTTCAGTCAAACGAAGAGGCTTTATCCATTTGTGGCCAACATAAGAACCATGATGACGCCCCTGAACATTTGACCAAGGAGTTTGGACAAGAAAGTCTAGGTTTTCAAGAACTTCAACACGATGCGGAGCCTAAAATCAACTGATGTGACAAATTATCTACTCAGGATGACAAACAAAATCAAGTGGTGTGAACTTCATTAGTGATGTGACAAATTATCTAGTATCCGATACAATAGTAATTTTGAAGGACCGTGCTGCTCTACCAAATCTGTAAATGATCTGGTAGAGCAACTCCACTCACATTTGGAGGTGGGGTGGGTATTTTTTGACATTTTTTTTTTAATAATGGGTCCCAATGGGGGATCCATTGTTGTGAGAGAGGCTTCTCTACCATATCATTTACAGGTTTGGTAAAGGAGCAAAATCCAATTTTGAAAGTCCACAAAGACCAATTTAGTAAGTACAAGAAAACTTTGATAGAATTTTTACAGGCTTTCATTTGGCACAATTTTATTGATAGTTAGCAAAAATAAAAATAAAAATAATCTGCAAATCAAGTGCTGCACTGTAGAGGCCCTGTGAGAATAAACCATGTACTTGTGGTTTTTTCTCTCCACAAAACTTCGATGGAATTTCATCTGATTTAGAGTGACCTAACTAGAATGCAAAAGTAAATTCGGCTAACTCCACGTACTAGTGGCTACCAATGTAACTTACAATTACGGAAGTGTCCGACAATATTAGCTATAGACTTCAAACCAACCGTCTTTCTTTAAAACTAATTTATTAGAGAGCATCCATTTAATCTTTTTAGAGCCTTTGACTCATTCATTAATTAATGCTAAAACTATAAACAAACAAAACTAATTCCCTATAATTGTGGCCAACCTTTCACTTTCATGAAAATTCTCTACTACCAAAAACATATGCTAAGAAATAGATTTACCTATCATTCTACAAAACTGACTAGTTTATAATCAAAATTTTCCAATAAATCTTTCCCCTTTTCAAATGCGACTCTGGACTTGAGAGAACCCCATAGAGAGAAAAGAGAGAGAGAGAGATAGAAGAACACATTATATGAGCCCATAAAAAGAAAAAGAAAAAGAAATTAAGAAAAAATGGCTTCTAAAAAGTTCAACTATTTCTCATTGTTATTTCTGACCTTGGTTGCTCTTCCTATTGCCCAGAGTACAACTATGGAAGCAAGAAAATCCACTGGTGTCAACCAGTTTTGCACTACTGCCAGCCATAAGGAACTTTGCACAAAAATGGTGAATGATGCTACAAACATGCACGATGCAACACAAAATGCCATTTTGGCTACGCTTGATCTTGCAAAAAAAATTCATTTCATGTCTCATTTGATAGAACCGGCTATTGCAACATTGGAGCCAATAAGCCAGGAATCGGTTCGAAGTACCTGCAAGGACAATTTTGAAAACACCATCGACGATCTCGAGGTATGTCAAGCCATGTTATCTGAAAGCTTACGCTTGTAGATAACAAATAAGTTTATTTATTAATTTCATCTTCTACACGTCCTCATATATAGGAAAAATGGTTCGCACATTTTTTTGGGCTGAGTCGAACTTTTGCTCGGTTTTTAAAAAAATATAGCTTAACTCGAGCTTTCGGCTTAGGCTTTAGCTAGCTAAGCCAGCTCATTTTTTATTTTTATTTTTAAATTCATAATAATCTAATTTTTTTTGAAGAATTTAAAATTTGTGAAATTTATACGAATTATAAATTAAATAAAAGTTGCAACCCTCCCCTTCTTTTAGGGCTTGGGATTGACTCCAATCGACATAGATGAAATTAAAATTGTACACGAATAAAATATTTCGTGTACAATTTTTTTTGAAACGAAGAAATTTAAAAATTACATATTTCTTTTTAAACTAATCAATTTAAAAACTTAAAATATCTTATTTTTGGATCTGTTGCAACATTCCATCATTATATTGTCAACTTATTCTTGAACACCAAGTTTTTTACGTATCATATGTTATCAACAATTCGATGATTCTTTTTTCGACATTTTAGTCTTGAGTACTTCTTCCTCTTCGATATTCTCCAAATTGATTGGAACATTTTGAGATATATCGTAGTCGGATGGAGTACTCGAATTATCACTAAACTAATTAATCTCATTATTAACAAAATTCAGCTAAGGTTATTATTAAAAAATACTAAATAGTGGAGTAAAAAATTGAATATTAGAGCAAAGAAATTGAAGATTGAAGTCGAAGCCAGAATATCGCAAGGTAAAATTGATTATATATATATACACACACATACACTGTTAATACATGCAGCTTGTATTAACGGAACACAGGAGCGTGCGTTGTATGTGTAGCTATTAAAGCAGCTACTGCTGCTAGATTTAAATTATTTTTAAAAAGTTTTGCTGACAGCTACACGTACCTACCTATACGTACCAGCTACGTCTAGCTGCCTGCTATTGATTTTATTTATTTGTACTTATTTTAATTTTTAAGGCTTTGTCTGGGTCGACTCGTCACCGATCGAAAATGGCTTGTGTGGCTCGCTCGAGCCGACGTTCCAAAGTAGGGCTCGGCTTGAGTCACAAGCTGTGCCGGCCCGAGCTTTTCCCGAATCGTTCTAACCGACAAGTCAAATTGATACCTCATTTTTTTTTTTTTTTTTTTTTCATAAATGAATGATGATAATACTTGAATTTTGGACATTTGCATTTTCTAATGCAATATAAATGATCTCATTATAAATTTTAATCTACGAAAAATAAAATATATTTATTTATTTGAATCTCATTTTCAATATTTCCAATCATGCTCTAAATCGTTTACACCTTTTTAATCATAATCGAAATATTTATTTATCTCAATTTCATTTTGGCCCGCAGACAAGTCTTCAAGCCCTAAAAGACAATGATCAAGGCACGTTGTTGACACTTTTGAGCGCATCGATCAGTTCCGATTGTGAGGACGCACTTAAGCAATTTGGTGTTGATAACCCATTGGGCAAAATCACTGGACATTTGGCTAAAGAAGTGGATAATTGCTTGGCTGTGGTGCAGCAAATCTGAGCTCCTTAAGGATCTAGAAATGCTAAATAACTTGGAACACTTTTGGCATCTAGTCGTGGACAGGGACTCGACAGAATAATGGAGAAAATTTTAACTTTTTGTTTTTTTTAACGATTTTCTAGTGCTATACAATTATCCTTATCGAACATGTCGGAAATATATAGTACACTCTTCTGTACATAGCTTAATCTGTTTGCATACGTACTTGTATATTTGCCTACAGAATTGAGTCTTGTTTTGGTAAATTTGAATTTTTATTCAAGTAATCTTTATGTTGAAAAATTATATCGATATTGTGTATATCATATTTACAAAACATGTAATTTATGTTCACGAAATCTAAACGCAATTTCGTCTTATCGAAATGTATTTGGGAATATGAAATGACAGATTCAATCATTTCCTTTCTTTATTTCAAACCTACATGAAATCAAAAGAATGTTATTGTAAAATTGGGTTGCTGTTTTTGTGAAGTCCAATCCATTTATTTTCAAAGCAGCCCAAGTTGAAAGGCCCAACCCAAGACCCGGATTGATGACCCAATAAATAGAAGAATCTGGAAGGGAAGAAAACCAACTTAACAAAACGTGTTTTTTCAGTTTCAAATAACAACTTCATTGGATCTTCGACGTGTGGCAAGATAAGGGCTGTTGGATTGAACTTTCGAGCTTCTTTCATAAAAATAGGCAAAATATCTCTAGAGTTTGTACTTTTGGTTATTCTAGCAGCTTCTTCGATTTATTAAGTTTCTTTCTGTAATTTTTGATTTCTCTCTTCGATCTTGAATACTGGTTGACAGAAAGTGAGATTTATAAACTCTTGTGTGAGTTCTTGCTGTTGAGAAATGGCTGTGTGCCATTGTTTGAGTCAGTGAAATGTGTGTTCTTTTGTAACTCGAAGCATTACTGTGTTTTGGCTGGTGTTTTAGTGGATTCGAGCTTATTCCTTTATGGATGCTCAACGGGGATTAGGCGTTTGAAGTGGTCGCCGAACCTCGGGAATTCGATCAAAAAATCTCGTGTTCTTTACTGTTTTTCATTCAGATCTACTTTATTCTCGATCTTTTTAGCGTTGAGATTTTTCTGGTTTTGTAATGTTCCTGAACTTACAGTGGTATCAGAGCGTTGGAAATAAATTTTTTCAGTTCTCTTTAGTCGCGGGTCTGAAACTTGTGTCACCGGCCAAAAGGAAAACGACAAATCTCTTGAGATCTGCCAACATTTAAAAAAAAAAAAAAAAATCTTCACATTAGACATAAATTTCTTGAGCACTGTTTAGTGTGCTTCTTCCATTCTGCCATGTCTGGTGTCAAATTTTTGAAAAGAAACCGAAACTTCTTGGTTATTTTTGGTGTTCTTTTATCCTTGTTGGTGTCGATTTTTGAAATAAACAGATTTTTGTATTCTGTGAAATCTGCAGTCTGTTGGTGACCTTTTTTTTTCAAAATAAACGAAGTCTTTGCGCATATTGTGAACTCTGCAGTATTGTGGTAACACTGTTTCTTGGTGAAATAATCAGACGGTTCTTGAGTATTGTTTGTACCTGCAGTTCTTATGATAATTTTTTGGTAACAAAAACGTGTTTCAAATTTAGGGTTCCATTGAACCTCCCCTAAATTCACCTCTGTCTAGGGTTCCCTGAGAGAACCCTAAAATCTCTGGGGACTAGGGCTTCGATTCAAGAGATCTGCATTTTCTAAAAAACTGATTTTGAAACTCTTTCACTGTGTGTGGATACTGAAACACACCAAAATTAAATCTTTATATTTGAATTGCTACATCTCTCTGTTTGAAATGTACTAATACTCAAATTGATCTCCTCAGGTGTTGAACTGCCTGAGAATAATTGCTTCAAAGGTACACACATTGCAGTTACTCCTTTGGTAGTTTATTGTGTGTAAGTTTATGTGTTTGAACTCCATTGCATGCTTAGTGATCTGTATATTGACCGTGTATTAATCTATGTGACATACTTCTGTATACATCACACCTAATCACAACTAATACATACTCTGAAATTGGAATAATTAGACAGTGATCTTTGTGACATACTGTTGACTGAATTACTACTGTGATATATTTGTTATATCATACTTGTGAACATTTTCACACTACTGCACACCATGAACTCTAAGGTAGATGTCCAAATTTGGGACGGCAAATGAGACTTTAGTCTCCGGCGTCAGAAAATGAAAGCACTTATGTTACAGTTAAAATGTGCTAAGGCCGTTGATGAATCTTGGCCAGAAACCCTGTCTGAAGCTAGGAAAACTGAACAAGATGAACTGGCCTGGAGCACCTTGTTTCTGCACTTAACTAATTCTGTGATTAGGAAAGTAGGAGAAACTAAAACTGCTGTAGAATTGTGGACAGTCTTAGAAAAGCACTACCTTACTAAGACCTTACCAAACAAATGATTTCTTTGGAGATAATTCTTTAGTTTTAAGTTTGATCATAATCTTGACACGGGAAATAATATGGATAGATTTAGTAGGATCACACAAGACTTAGCAAACTGTGATGAGAAAATTTCTGATGAACAGAAGGTAGTTGGCCTGCTTAATGCTCTAGAAGATAAATATAAAGACATAAGAAATGCTCTAAAGTACGGCAGGAGTGATCTCACAGTTGAAATAATTCATAGTTCTCTTCTGAACAAAGAACTTGAATTAAAATCTGAATACAAAAAAGTGTTCCATATTGAGGGTGTGTCATCAAATCAAAGACCACATGTTAAAGGTGTAAGTAACTTCAGTCATTCCAATTTTAATACGAATAAAAATTTTAACAAAAGACAATGAATTAACACCAAAGAAAAGGTAAGAAATCAATTAAAGGAAAAGTGAATAGCAACAATAATAGAAAATGTTTTTACTGTGGAAAAACTGGCCACTTTATTAAAGACTGTTTTAAAAAGGCAAATGACCAAAAGAATGTGTTTAATACTGAAAATGCTTCTTTAGCAGTTACTGCTAATTATAAAGAAGCTGGAGCCAATATTAGAGCTGCCTATGTGTCTCTATCTGAAAATACTGATCAGGACTGGGTCCAAGATTCAGGTTGTTCCTTTCATATGATACCCAATATTGGCTACATTTCAGACTTTTGTAGTCTGGATGGAAGATTTTGTAAAACTTGGAAATGACGAGTCATGCTAAGTGGAGAAATTTGGAAATGTGCTGCTGAAATTAAAAAATGACCATCACATGTTAAAACATACTAGATGATAAGTGTATTTTTGCACACTTATTTAGGTCACAAACATGATTGAATAACGAGCAAAATGATTGAATTGTGACTTAATCTCGTTACATTTGTGAATTGTAGGGAACAACGATGAACATGGTGAAGTTCAGGAGAAAAGATGCGAAAAAAGGACTAAAATGACGCAAAGTGAAAGTTCAGGGACTAAGGTGAAATTATCCAAAATTTGACCCGACGAACAAATCGAGAAATTGATTAAGCCAATTGCCAATTGACGATACCTTGGGATGATTGAATGAAAAGAATGAAGAAAAGATGCCAAGAAGTGAAGTATTCAAGTGGGAGGACTAAAATGCACAACTTCCATAGTTGGTAGCACTACCCTCTATGCTGTCGCATAGAGGCTTACCGAAGAAAAAAGGGCAAAAAATATTTACTCTATGCGATCGCATAGAGCAATTCCTGGTTAAAATTTCAGTTTCCTTTTTCCGCCGAAACTCTTATGGAAACAATATTTTTAAGGTCATATAAATACAAAAACTCCACCAGAACAAGGGGACGCCATTTTTACAAGTTTTTGAAGGAAAAACAAGGATAGAACAAGAGAACAAGAGAACAACATCGCGCCAAGTGAAGATTGGATTGAAGATTGATTCGGGTGATGACGTTTCTTCAAATATTTTTATGTTTTCTTCTTTTTGACATGTTAGGCTAAATTTATCATTGCTAGGAGATCGATGAACCTTGTAATACTACGTTTGATTTTTGATTTGGATTTTTGACGTATTTAAACGCAAGTTCCGGATTTGATTGATTTATTACGTTTTTATTTTTATATGATTATTGTGCATGTAATTATATGATTGTTGTGGCCTATTTTATGCATTCAAAAGAAGGAAAATATGTTCGACATAGTATAAATCATCATAGGGTCCGATAGGAGATAGAAGTATACGTCTATGCCTTGTGTGAATCATTGGATATTCATGAATTTAAATGCATTTCGGTATGTTAGTATTCGTCATAGAAATATAGTCGAATCATATATTGGGATAGGTTTGGCATTGCTCGAGAGAAATTGCTAAATTAAAATAGGAATATTGATTCATCTTTTGTGGAATTGCGTGTCAAATTTGCATGATTGAAAATTGAACGGGTATTGCTTGGGGATTCGTGATCCTAGTCCTTTAGTATATTTATTAATTCCATAAACTCGAGTTAAATTGCATTTAAGTTATTTTGCATTTAGTATAACTTTTCATTCATACTTGCATCAAAGTTTACATCTTTCTAGTTAAGGTACAAAACATCAATTTGATTTTCGTGGTTCGGTTAAGGTCATAATAGGTTAATTTGAATTAATTCAATCCTCGTGGGATCGATACTTGGACTCATAGTCCATTTTACTGCTTGTTAACAAACTGTACACTTGCGGTGGATTTTAATTCGGAACAAATAATTTCGTGAACAAATTTTTGGCGCCGTTGCCGGGGATTGAAATTTAGTTTTAATTTTATCTTTTGTGACACTAATTCAAACTTATCTAGATTAGAAATAGTTAGATTACTAGGTTTAGTTTGTTATTTACTTCAATGTAATTTTGTGTTGATTTTGTTATCTCAGGGCTTGTATGCAAAGAACACCTGATCAAGACTTGATTCCCATAGATCCAGAGATCGAACACACATTCCGTCACAGGCAAAGAGAAGCAAGGGCGGCACAACAAATGGCTAACGAGCAAAATCGACCAGTAATTCCACTCAACGAAGGCATGGCAGTTGAAGATGACGGGAATACAGTACTTGGGGACTTCATGGCACCGTTGGTGGTCCAAAGTCAATCTAGTATTGTGTATCCTCCATTTGGGTAGTCAAACTTCCAGCTGAAAACAAATGTGATTCAACTATTTCAGAATGGGCATCAATACCATGGGATGGCTAGTGAGAACCCACATACACACATATCCCGATTTCTGGATATGTGCCAATACTTTAGGTACCAGGGTATCTCGGACGACGCTATAAGACTGCGGTTGTTTCCACACACCTTGTGGGATAAGGCACTTGAATGGCTGGATTCGCTTCCCGTCGCAAGTATCACCACTTGGAACGAGCTAGCCCACAAATTCTGCACCAAGTTCT